TGTATTGGGTGGTCATCTAAGCCTCGAATCATGCAGGCGCTCACCTCGGGACTATCAGCCACCCAGTCAAAGTCGAGCACAATGTACTTGCTGCAGGGGATCATGCATGTGTGGCAGACTGATCCCCAGGTTCACAAGTGTGTATTGGGTGGTCATCTAAGCCTCGAATCATGCAGGCGCTCACCTCGGGACTATCAGCCACCCAGTCAAAGTCGAGCACAATGTACTTGCTGCAGGGGATCATGCATGTGTGGCAGACTGATCCCCAGGTTCACAAGTGTGTATTGGGTGGTCATCTAAGCCTCGAATCATGCAGGCGCTCACCTCGGGACTATCAGCCACCCAGTCAAAGTCGAGCACAATGTACTTGCTGCAGGGGATCATGCATGTGTGGCAGACTGATCCCCAGGTTCACAAGTGTGTATTGGGTGGTCATCTAAGCCTCGAATCATGCAGGCGCTCACCTCGGGACTATCAGCCACCCAGTCAAAGTCGAGCACAATGTACTTGCTGCAGGGGATCATGCATGTGTGGCAGACTGATCCCCAGGTTCACAAGTGTGTATTGGGTGGTCATCTAAGCCTCGAATCATGCAGGCGCTCACCTCGGGACTATCAGCCACCCAGTCAAAGTCGAGCACAATGTACTTGCTGCAGGGGATCATGCATGTGTGGCAGACTGATCCCCAGGTTCACAAGTGTGTATTGGGTGGTCATCTAAGCCTCGAATCATGCAGGCGCTCACCTCGGGACTATCAGCCACCCAGTCAAAGTCGAGCACAATGTACTTGCTGCAGGGGATCATGCATGTGTGGCAGACTGATCCCCAGGTTCACAAGTGTGTATTGGGTGGTCATCTAAGCCTCGAATCATGCAGGCGCTCACCTCGGGACTATCAGCCACCCAGTCAAAGTCGAGCACAATGTACTTGCTGCAGGGGATCATGCATGTGTGGCAGACTGATCCCCAGGTTCACAAGTGTGTATTGGGTGGTCATCTAAGCCTCGAATCATGCAGGCGCTCACCTCGGGACTATCAGCCACCCAGTCAAAGTCGAGCACAATGTACTTGCTGCAGGGGATCATGCATGTGTGGCAGACTGATCCCCAGGTTCACAAGTGTGTATTGGGTGGTCATCTAAGCCTCGAATCATGCAGGCGCTCACCTCGGGACTATCAGCCACCCAGTCAAAGTCGAGCACAATGTACTTGCTGCAGGGGATCATGCATGTGTGGCAGACTGATCCCCAGGTTCACAAGTGTGTATTGGGTGGTCATCTAAGCCTCGAATCATGCAGGCGCTCACCTCGGGACTATCAGCCACCCAGTCAAAGTCGAGCACAATGTACTTGCTGCAGGGGATCATGCATGTGTGGCAGACTGATCCCCAGGTTCACAAGTGTGTATTGGGTGGTCATCTAAGCCTCGAATCATGCAGGCGCTCACCTCGGGACTATCAGCCACCCAGTCAAAGTCGAGCACAATGTACTTGCTGCAGGGGATCATGCATGTGTGGCAGACTGATCCCCAGGTTCACAAGTGTGTATTGGGTGGTCATCTAAGCCTCGAATCATGCAGGCGCTCACCTCGGGACTATCAGCCACCCAGTCAAAGTCGAGCACAATGTACTTGCTGCAGGGGATCATGCATGTGTGGCAGACTGATCCCCAGGTTCACAAGTGTGTATTGGGTGGTCATCTAAGCCTCGAATCATGCAGGCGCTCACCTCGGGACTATCAGCCACCCAGTCAAAGTCGAGCACAATGTACTTGCTGCAGGGGATCATGCATGTGTGGCAGACTGATCCCCAGGTTCACAAGTGTGTATTGGGTGGTCATCTAAGCCTCGAATCATGCAGGCGCTCACCTCGGGACTATCAGCCACCCAGTCAAAGTCGAGCACAATGTACTTGCTGCAGGGGATCATGCATGTGTGGCAGACTGATCCCCAGGTTCACAAGTGTGTATTGGGTGGTCATCTAAGCCTCGAATCATGCAGGCGCTCACCTCGGGACTATCAGCCACCCAGTCAAAGTCGAGCACAATGTACTTGCTGCAGGGGATCATGCATGTGTGGCAGACTGATCCCCAGGTTCACAAGTGTGTATTGGGTGGTCATCTAAGCCTCGAATCATGCAGGCGCTCACCTCGGGACTATCAGCCACCCAGTCAAAGTCGAGCACAATGTACTTGCTGCAGGGGATCATGCATGTGTGGCAGACTGATCCCCAGGTTCACAAGTGTGTATTGGGTGGTCATCTAAGCCTCGAATCATGCAGGCGCTCACCTCGGGACTATCAGCCACCCAGTCAAAGTCGAGCACAATGTACTTGCTGCAGGGGATCATGCATGTGTGGCAGACTGATCCCCAGGTTCACAAGTGTGTATTGGGTGGTCATCTAAGCCTCGAATCATGCAGGCGCTCACCTCGGGACTATCAGCCACCCAGTCAAAGTCGAGCACAATGTACTTGCTGCAGGGGATCATGCATGTGTGGCAGACTGATCCCCAGGTTCACAAGTGTGTATTGGGTGGTCATCTAAGCCTCGAATCATGCAGGCGCTCACCTCGGGACTATCAGCCACCCAGTCAAAGTCGAGCACAATGTACTTGCTGCAGGGGATCATGCATGTGTGGCAGACTGATCCCCAGGTTCACAAGTGTGTATTGGGTGGTCATCTAAGCCTCGAATCATGCAGGCGCTCACCTCGGGACTATCAGCCACCCAGTCAAAGTCGAGCACAATGTACTTGCTGCAGGGGATCATGCATGTGTGGCAGACTGATCCCCAGGTTCACAAGTGTGTATTGGGTGGTCATCTAAGCCTCGAATCATGCAGGCGCTCACCTCGGGACTATCAGCCACCCAGTCAAAGTCGAGCACAATGTACTTGCTGCAGGGGATCATGCATGTGTGGCAGACTGATCCCCAGGTTCACAAGTGTGTATTGGGTGGTCATCTAAGCCTCGAATCATGCAGGCGCTCACCTCGGGACTATCAGCCACCCAGTCAAAGTCGAGCACAATGTACTTGCTGCAGGGGATCATGCATGTGTGGCAGACTGATCCCCAGGTTCACAAGTGTGTATTGGGTGGTCATCTAAGCCTCGAATCATGCAGGCGCTCACCTCGGGACTATCAGCCACCCAGTCAAAGTCGAGCACAATGTACTTGCTGCAGGGGATCATGCATGTGTGGCAGACTGATCCCCAGGTTCACAAGTGTGTATTGGGTGGTCATCTAAGCCTCGAATCATGCAGGCGCTCACCTCGGGACTATCAGCCACCCAGTCAAAGTCGAGCACAATGTACTTGCTGCAGGGGATCATGCATGTGTGGCAGACTGATCCCCAGGTTCACAAGTGTGTATTGGGTGGTCATCTAAGCCTCGAATCATGCAGGCGCTCACCTCGGGACTATCAGCCACCCAGTCAAAGTCGAGCACAATGTACTTGCTGCAGGGGATCATGCATGTGTGGCAGACTGATCCCCAGGTTCACAAGTGTGTATTGGGTGGTCATCTAAGCCTCGAATCATGCAGGCGCTCACCTCGGGACTATCAGCCACCCAGTCAAAGTCGAGCACAATGTACTTGCTGCAGGGGATCATGCATGTGTGGCAGACTGATCCCCAGGTTCACAAGTGTGTATTGGGTGGTCATCTAAGCCTCGAATCATGCAGGCGCTCACCTCGGGACTATCAGCCACCCAGTCAAAGTCGAGCACAATGTACTTGCTGCAGGGGATCATGCATGTGTGGCAGACTGATCCCCAGGTTCACAAGTGTGTATTGGGTGGTCATCTAAGCCTCGAATCATGCAGGCGCTCACCTCGGGACTATCAGCCACCCAGTCAAAGTCGAGCACAATGTACTTGCTGCAGGGGATCATGCATGTGTGGCAGACTGATCCCCAGGTTCACAAGTGTGTATTGGGTGGTCATCTAAGCCTCGAATCATGCAGGCGCTCACCTCGGGACTATCAGCCACCCAGTCAAAGTCGAGCACAATGTACTTGCTGCAGGGGATCATGCATGTGTGGCAGACTGATCCCCAGGTTCACAAGTGTGTATTGGGTGGTCATCTAAGCCTCGAATCATGCAGGCGCTCACCTCGGGACTATCAGCCACCCAGTCAAAGTCGAGCACAATGTACTTGCTGCAGGGGATCATGCATGTGTGGCAGACTGATCCCCAGGTTCACAAGTGTGTATTGGGTGGTCATCTAAGCCTCGAATCATGCAGGCGCTCACCTCGGGACTATCAGCCACCCAGTCAAAGTCGAGCACAATGTACTTGCTGCAGGGGATCATGCATGTGTGGCAGACTGATCCCCAGGTTCACAAGTGTGTATTGGGTGGTCATCTAAGCCTCGAATCATGCAGGCGCTCACCTCGGGACTATCAGCCACCCAGTCAAAGTCGAGCACAATGTACTTGCTGCAGGGGATCATGCATGTGTGGCAGACTGATCCCCAGGTTCACAAGTGTGTATTGGGTGGTCATCTAAGCCTCGAATCATGCAGGCGCTCACCTCGGGACTATCAGCCACCCAGTCAAAGTCGAGCACAATGTACTTGCTGCAGGGGATCATGCATGTGTGGCAGACTGATCCCCAGGTTCACAAGTGTGTATTGGGTGGTCATCTAAGCCTCGAATCATGCAGGCGCTCACCTCGGGACTATCAGCCACCCAGTCAAAGTCGAGCACAATGTACTTGCTGCAGGGGATCATGCATGTGTGGCAGACTGATCCCCAGGTTCACAAGTGTGTATTGGGTGGTCATCTAAGCCTCGAATCATGCAGGCGCTCACCTCGGGACTATCAGCCACCCAGTCAAAGTCGAGCACAATGTACTTGCTGCAGGGGATCATGCATGTGTGGCAGACTGATCCCCAGGTTCACAAGTGTGTATTGGGTGGTCATCTAAGCCTCGAATCATGCAGGCGCTCACCTCGGGACTATCAGCCACCCAGTCAAAGTCGAGCACAATGTACTTGCTGCAGGGGATCATGCATGTGTGGCAGACTGATCCCCAGGTTCACAAGTGTGTATTGGGTGGTCATCTAAGCCTCGAATCATGCAGGCGCTCACCTCGGGACTATCAGCCACCCAGTCAAAGTCGAGCACAATGTACTTGCTGCAGGGGATCATGCGCATGGTGGTGTCGAGAAACACCATCTCATCCTCCACTATGCGCACCTGGTGGGGGGGGGGGGAGGAGGGGGTAGGGCAGATGAAGGGGTGGATGAAAGTAGGCAGTGTGAGTGGGCACATCAAACTTCACTCTAACCACGATCATGCGCATGGTGGTGTCGAGAAACACCATCTCATCCTCCACTATGCGCACCTGGTGGGGGGGGGGGGGAGGAGGGGGTAGGGCAGATGAAGGGGTGGATGAAAGTAGGCAGTGTGAGTGGGCACATCAAACTTCACTCTAACCACGATCATGCGCATGGTGGTGTCGAGAAACACCATCTCGTCCTCCACTATGCGCACCTGGTTGGGGGGGGAAGGCGGGGGATTGGTCAGGGAGGGAGCATGGGAGGTGGAGGCAATGAGTATTGACGACATGAATGCTTCTTCCTACTATCATGTCATGGGCATGGTGGTGTCTAGAATTGAGACGTCTCAAATCTAGAAACACCATCTCGTCCTCCACTATGCACGCCTGGTGGGAGGGGGGGAGAGTACGGGGGAAGGGGGGCAAAATGGGCAGTGTGTGAGTGAGTGGGCAGCGGACGCTACCCACTCTCATGCACATGGTGGTGTCTAGAAACACCATCTCGTCCTCCACTATGCACGCCTGGTGGGAGGGGGGGAAGGGGCCGGAGGGTTTAGAGTCATGAAATAAAGGGGAGCGGGGGTGAGAAGCACGAGGAAAGAAGCGTAGAGAGTCGAGGGAGAGAAGGGAAGGTAATCTCACCTGCAGGCCCAGGTCTCCTCCGTGGTACCCCATGCGGTAGGCGGATCGCATGGCATCAGGCAGCCCTCTTGAGGTGACAACGACTTGGAGGTTGACGAGCAGCCCGTCCAGCTCCAGCGCCCACCCAGGTGCAGCCCATTAGAGGGGGGAGAGGGTGCCACATCCGACCCACTGAGGGGAGGAGGGTGTCTACCTGTAGACCCAAAGCGCCCCCGTGGTAGCCTATTCTGTAGGCTGACCGAACAGCGTCAGGCAGCCCTCGTGAGATGACGACGACCTTGAGGTTGACGAGCAGCCCGTCCAGCTGCAGCACGTGCCCACCCAGGTGCGGCCCAGTCACTGACAGAGAGGAGAGAGGAGAGGGAACCAGGTACCGCCCACTGAGGGCGAGGAGGAGAGGGGGGTGTTCAGAGCGCACCTGCAAGCCCAGATCCCCTCCATGGTACCCCATGCGGTAGGCGGATCGAACAGCATCAGGCAGCCCTCGTGAGATGACGACGACCTTGAGGTTGACGAGCAGCCCGTCCAGCTGCAGCACGTGCACCAGGTGCCAGTGAGGGGAGAGGGCTCCAGAAGGAAATCTCTCTCACCTGCAGGCCCAGGTCTCCCCCGTGGTAGCCCATTCTGTATGCCGACCGCACGGCATCGGGCAGCCCTCGTGAAATCACGACCACCTTCAGATTGAAGAGCAGCCTGTCCAGCTGCAGCATGTGACCCACCCAGGTAGACATGAGCAAAAATTCGAACCCCTGTTCGGTTCGACTCGAAAGTGTTCGAATGGTTTTTTTGCCCAAAAATGTTCGTGATGAACACGTTCGACTGTTCGAGTGTTCGTGTGCAGAAAAATGCATGAACACCAAGGTGTTCGCGAACACAATGTGTTCGTCGCAAACACCTAGGTGTTCGTGCATTTATCTGCGCGTCAAAGTTTGACGCGCTGGTTGAATCTAAAAGGGGAGGGCGACGATTTAGCTCAAGAATGAGCTCAATCGTCGATATAGCCTAAGGATGGCATTCCGCCCCCTACCCACGTAAACTAACAAATTCCCACGGTTAAAATTCCACTTTGTGGCTGGAAACGTTAGGTATACGGTTGGATTAGGGTAGGAGACGGTTCAAAAAAGGAACAAAGGGCATTACGGTTTAGGTTGGAGTTTAGCAATGCAAAATTGGATATCCACCAGATCTGCACCAAGCCTAACTATATCTCTTGTAGGGCTATAGGGAACGTGACATTGCTTCTAGTACACTCGCCCTGCCTGAATGTGACTATACTGAAAGAACCCCCCAAGGCAAACTGTTCGAGTTTGGGTCAAACACCTTAGTGTTCGGCCTTGCCTCAAAACTGTCCGACCCTATACTCGAACGGGGAACACTAACATTTAGGAAAACTGTTCGAGTCAAACGTGTTCGGTTCTCGAATTGACCAAGTGTTCGCAAAATGTTCGAGACAAACGTGTTCGGTTCGCTCTTTGCTCATGTCTACACCCAAGTGCGGTGCACTGAGAGAGGAGAGGAGAGGAGAGGAGAGGAGAGAAGAGGAGAGAAGAGGAGAGGAGAGGAGAGGAGAGGAGAGGAGGCTCTGAGCACAGCAATAGGGAACCCACCTGAAGGCCCAAGTTCCCTCCATGGTAGCCCATGCGGTACGCGGAGCGTACAGCATCAGGCAGCCCTCGGGAAATCACGACCACCTTGAAGCCCGTCCAGCTGCCGCATGTGCAAATGGTCCGGCCGAGCCAGGGAGGAGAGGGGAGAGGAGGGTTCTCAGTGCTCACCTGAAGGCCCAGGTCCCCTCCGTGGTAGCCCATCCTGTATGCCGAGCGAACAGCATCAGGCAGCCCTCTGGAGATGACGACGACTTTGAGGTTGAAGAGCAGCCCGTCCAGCTGCAGCATGTGCACCAGGTCCGGCCGAGCCAGGGGCGTCCGAACCCGGCCCAGAGGGTAGGAGTCCCGAGCTCGGAGGTACACGGCTGGTGTGTGTGTGGTTGGGGGTGGGAAGGACCGAGGGAGGGAGAGAAGGAGGGGGAAGCGGGAGGGGTGGAGAAAGATCAGGTGAGGTATTGTGAGGCGCCTGAAATCTCATCAGGTGGCGTACCGTTAAGCAGGTCTAAATTTAAGGCGCCTCATATATAGACGCCTGTAATCTCATCAGGTGAGGTACCGTTTAGCAGGTGAACATGGAAAAAAGGAAGTGAGGAGAGAGGCGACGAAAAGAGGGGACAAACGGGAGGGGGTGCTGATGAAACGAGAGGAGAGAAGACAAATGTTGGGCTAAGGCACAACCTCCCAACCACCCTCCCATCCATCCACCCATCCACCCATCCATCCACCCACTCACCCATCCATCCACCCACTCACCCATCCATCCACCCACTCACCCACCCACCCACCCACCCACCCACCCATCCATCCACCCAACACATACAGCTGCCAATCTCTGCCAGCCGCACAGCCATCTCCTTGGCATATGCGCGCAGGGGACGCGCGTAGGGCAGCCGCGGACAGCTGCAGGGGGAGAAACGGGGGAAGGGCGAGGGGCGGAGCAGGGGGGGAGGGAGAAGGGGGGATGAGTGTGTGGGGTGGAGCGAAAAAAAGGGGGGGCGGGCGTGGGGTTAGAGCCGGGTGCAGGATTGTAGCCAAAGGATGGAACGGACTACGGGTGGAATAGGCTGAGGTGACATTTGAGTCGACCAAAACAGAGGAGGGTTAAAGGGATGGAGGGGGGGAGGGAGGGGGGGGGGGGGGGGGGGGTGGGGGGGGGGGTGGGGGGGGTCAAGAAACAACGTGAAAATCATGATCAATTGCACTCCATTCACAGAATCACCACATTGAACCAGCTCGCACCCCTGCACAGCCGCGTATCACCGCACTGAACCGGCACTCACCGTGCGTCCACGCCGTGCACGTGTGTCTGGGTTTCCTCGGAAGTGAGGTGGAGCAGCGGCTCGAACGCCACGACTGCAGAGGACGCAGGGGACATCACGGGCAGGCGGGAGGGGTTGGGGAATTGGTGAATAAAGTAAGTGGGCGAGGTGAGGTGGAGCAGCGGCTCGAGAACATCACGGGCAGATACGGAAATGCACGGTCAGACAGGGGAAGTTGGGGAGGTTGGGGAATTGGGGGAAGGGGGAATAAAGTAAATGGGAGAGGCGAGGTGGAGCAGCGGCTCGAACGCCACCACTACAGAGGGCGCAGGGGAGAGCAACGCCAAGCAGGGGAAAGCACGGGCAGATAGGAAACAGCATGGTCAGGCATCGGCAACTCACCACTGAAATTGACCTTCTTTATGTTCCGAAACACCTGCTCGAAGAATTTATGCCCCGACCCCTCAATCCCCGCGAAGAAAACCACCAGCGGAAGCTCATCCCCCGCTCCGCCAGCCCCGCCTCCGCCCCCGCTAGTCCCATTCTTCCCGTCCGCGGATCCCCCCGCGCTCTCCCCCAAGCCCCGGCCTTCCCCGTCCGCGGGCTTGTCTTGCGCGTAAAAGTGCTTCGCGCTATGCGCGACCGCCTTCAGGTCGATCCTGGGCCGGCACACTGGTGGGCGCATGGGACAACGTTCATGAAACCGCTTTTTAAGCTGCTCCAATAAGGTTGCTTGACCGGCAGCTCCGAGGCCGCTGCCTGCACCTAGACCTGAAATGTCGCTGTGTTGTAGCGACCCCTCGTGCGACATTGCGACGTCTTGGATGTAGAGAACCGACGCTGCGACAGCCCAGACGATGAAGATCTGCGCGACGGCGAATCGCACGATGGGTTGTCGCCAGAGCTGCTGGATCGGACGAAAGAGATTGGACGGCCGAGATTTCGTGAGGGAAGGGCTCGCGTCATCGGAGCCGTCGTCAGCATCTAGGATTGCATCAAAGGGGTCTATTCCGTCGTCGTGAGTGGCTGACCGACGGAGAGCGGATCCAGGAGAGTGGGTCTCCTTACCCTCCATGCTGCACTTTAAGTTCCGCGTCAATCACTGGCTGACTACGAGAGTCGACGATAGAGCAGCAATTCAGGCGGACTATCCAAGAGCACGGAGCCTTGAAGTTGAATGCGCAGGCGTTCTTCTCGCAGTCGTGTCGTTTAAATCAAATGCGAAAACCACGCCGATATTAACTCACGCAATAAATCTCGTAACAAAACGGTTATCGGCGGGATATAGCTATGGCAGGCTATGGTCTGCTAGACAAGCCTACCCTACTGCCATGAATTTCCCGATGCCCATAGCAGAGAAACGAAACTACAGTATGCAGAAAACCGGAATTTCCCAGCAACCATAGATTTCCCAATGCCCACCCATTACAGTTTCTGTGGCAGTGAGGTGGTGCCTGGGGAGGGGAGTAAGAAATCTAGGTGGGTGGCCGTGAGATGCAGGACAATATCAATGTCCTCGATTCTGATGAGTTCGTTATACATTCGATAAGGTGTTTTGTGAAATATATCGTCACATTATATATATTGCTTATATGGGCTATACACTGATACAGAGAGTGTACAACGCATAAACAGTCGTAACTGTGCGTGAGAAGCAGGGTCACCTACTTCAAAAGGATCGATCCCTACACGTGGATCCGGGGCCTGCGTGGCTTGCCCTAAATGGCCGCAGAGTTGCTCGACCACCGCCAACTCTTGTCCTCCACAACCCGTGTTAGAGTGAGGACCTTGGATAGGATAGGAGGTACTTTAGTAAAGTTGGTAGTGGAAGTCTTGTAAGAACTCAGATCATAGTGAATGTAAATGACCAAGTTGATTAAACAATAGAATACAAGGAATATAATTAGTCCTAGTCTAGCCATGTACTCTGAGGGGTACATTCCCTTATTATAACTGTTTTACAGGCATTTCTACAGTGACTCTGACTGTTGTACTTCCTTCTTGTTACCGAGTCGCTGCATGTAACCTGTACGGTTACGCCTGTTGCTTTTCCTCGATGGCAAGTCAAGCGTCGGTCCAGATGGTCAACAGTCGCGACAGTTGATTCTTGCGATTGTTGACATTCCTGCCCTTGATACGGGCTGATCCGATACTGCGGTTGTTGCTGCTTCGACAAAGTCAGGTGCGATACTGCTGCACCTACGGGAATGCTAAGTATAATTCCCTTCACAATCCATCACTCCCCTTCATTCCTGGAGGTGCGCCAGGTGGCTTTTGCGAGTCACTCCGCACAGGTCCGAGCAGTACTGAAACTTCTGACGTGGCAGTTTCTTCGTGAGGAAGTCAGCTGCCATTTCGCCAGTTGGACAGTAGATAAGCTGAACTTTCCCTTTGTCGATTTCGTCCTTCACGAAGAAGTAACGCAGGGCGATATGTTTCGTGTGGTTGACGAAGCCTGGCTTGTTTGCGATTTTGATCGCGCTCTGGTTGTCGCAGAGTAACTTAAAGGATCCGTTCATCGCCGTTTTCGTTTCCTGCAGAAGCTCCGTGAGATAAAGTCCTTCGCGAACTGCTGCGCTTGCTGCGATGAATTCTGCTTCTGCTGACGAGAGGGCGATGAGTTCATGTTTGTTGGAGTTCCAGGAGATGGTTCCTGCAGGCTCGAGCTTGAAAATGAAGCCTGTGCGGGACCTCCTGTTGTCTGCGTCCCCAGCGTGGTCAGCGTCCACATAGCCGGTGAGTTGTAGTGGCGCTGTTAAGTTGGCCTTGTAGGTGAGACCGACATCAGGCGTAGAGATGAAGTACTGTAAGGCGCGGCGCAGGTCTGCTAGGTTCTCCCCTTCAGGTCGTCGCAGGTACTGGGCGAGCTGGATGGCGATGTAGGATAAGTCCGGGCGGCATGTGACGGCGGCGAACAGTAAACATCCGAGCTGCTGTTGGTAGAGACGGAGATCAGCCGGTGAGAGCGGAGTAGTGTCGGGCTCGTGGTTAGGCGGAGGAATGCGGAACGGGGTGGTGACGCCGACGGGAGCTATCCCGAACTTCTTAGCGAGGGTCTCGGCGTACTTTGCGGCGGAGAGATGAATTGTATCCGCGGTCTGAGTGACGTTGAGGCCGAGGAATTGTGTGACCTCATGGTCGATCGTGACCTCGAGCTTCTCCTGAATTTCGCGTTCGAAGCGATCGAGTAGGTCTGTGTCGTCTCCGGTGTAGAGGAGATCGTAGCCGCGGGATTCGAGACGGTACATCCCCTGGTCGTGGGGAAGTTGCTGGAAACCGAGCTCGATGAGGATGCCGTGAAGATGCTGCTGCCACAGGCGTGGTGCCTGCTTGATCCCGTATAGGGATTTTTGAAGGAGACAGATGGCGTCGCCTTCTTCCTCAAATGTGTGCAGCTGTTCGACGTAGATGATGGCGTCGACGATCGCGTAGAGGAATGCGTTGGAGACGTCGATTTTACGGAGTGGGCGATGTTTCACGGCGGCGATGCAGAGAAGGATGCGCACTGAGGTATGACGACCAACAGGTGCGAATGTCTGGTTGTAGTCCACAAATTGCGTCTGTTCGAATCCGCGAACCACCCAGCGTGCTTTGAATTTTTCGACCGTTCCGTCCGCGAGAGTCTTGATGCGGAAGACCCACTTCCCTGTAAGGATTTTTCTCCCCTTTGCGTGGCGGCGTGGTACCAGCTTCCAGGTGCCGCGGCGTTGGAGTGCAGCGACTTCCGCGGCCATGGCGGCTCTCCACTTCTCGGCATCGGGCCCGTTGAGAGCCTGGCGGACGGTGGTGGGCTCGACCAGCTGCTGGTTACTCCGTACGGCGACAGCGAGGCCAATGATGCGAAGGCCCGTGAGGTTGGTTTCGGCTGTGGTGGTAACTTCGACCACGTCGTCGTCGTCGCCAGGGATGTCGCGAAAGGTGTCGCGGGAGGAGTCGTGACTGGAATCCTTGTTCATGGGTGAGTGCATTTCTGCGCTTGCATAATCGTGCTGTGCCTGTACTGCTTCATGAGGATCGATGTTTGTTGGGAAGTATGCAGGAGTGCCGAATTGCTCCGTAACGGGGATGAAGGTTGCCTCGTCTGCCATGTCTGCTGCTAGCTCGGTCGGTTGTTCTCCTGCCACGTCAACGTCGTCCTCGTCATTGGCGAAGCTGTGCTGTCCTTGGAAAATGTTGTCTGGTGCATTCTGTGCAGTGCGGTGCTGGCGGTACAGTGGCAGAGTCAGTCTTTCGTAGAAGATGCAGTCACGTGAACGCGTGAGCTGGTGGGTGGCGAAGTCCAGGATTGTCCAGGCGTGATATTCGGATTCGATTCCGAGGTGAATGCCCCAGCGAGCGCGATCTTCAAATTTTCCGGTTCGGCCACTGTGAGGGCGGTACTGTACCATGCACCCGAAGACTCGCAGCATGCGTGTGTCAGGGTGTTTTCCAGTCCATTCCTTGAAGGGTGAACTGTTGTTGGGCAGTGCCTTCGAGGAGAGCATGTTGTGCAGCCGAACTGCATGTGCCATTGCGAAGGGCCAGTACTTGGTTGGCACAGCCGACTTTCTTCATGAGGGCTCGCATTTTTGTCGCGAGGCTCCTGTTGGTTCTCTCGGCCAATCCCTGCTGTTCGTGGGCATAAGGCAGAGAGATCATCCTCTTGATCCCTTTCTGCTTGCATAGGGTTTTGAAGTAGTCCGACATGTACTCCAGAGCTCCGTCTGTCTAGAACGCCTTCAGCTTGTACCCGTCGCTTTGATTTTCTGCCATGGCGAGCCAGACTTCGAAGCAATAGTAGGCGAGGTAGCGGTCCTTGACATTCACGGCCCAAACAAAGCGTGTGCCGGCGTCGATGAAGGTAAGGGTGTACTGCTCCCCGCCGACTCCTTTCGCCGTGAGCACTAGGAAGTCGCTATAAACTTTCTCCAGTGGTTTGTATCGTTCGGCTCCAGGAATCTTTTCAGCGAAGGGTGTGTGGCGGAGCGCGGCTGCCGGGCAGACGGTGCAGGTCGGTAGATCGGTTCGTGGTTTCAGCAGCTTTCCATCGGGCAGCAACAGTGCGTCTGCCGCAAAAACATTTGCGTTGATGCAGTTGTTGAGCACTTCGATTGATGGGTGTCCCATACGTTGATGCCAGATGTCTCCGTCGGCCCGATATCCCTTAGTGCGCGAGTACAGTTCCTTCTCTCGTGCTAATATCTCCTCCGTTGTTTCTTGTCTTGTTTCGTCCGCAGGTTCATCGGGCATGGTGACTTGAACTGCCGCTGCTTGAATTGTCACGCCATGATACGTTCCGCTGGTGTCGCCGACGGTGACAGTGTCCATCGTCACCGGTAGCTTCAGTGGCTTCTCTGGATGCGGGGGCGCGGTGTGCGCGTGACGATCTTCGGGTTGCGTAATTTCTTCTTCCTCGAATATGGTATCGGCGATCGCCACTCCCCTTGTCTCGAGGCGACGATAGTTTCTGCCGTCCGTCGTGATGGGAAGTAGGTGAGGTCCGTACTCCGTCAGTGACTCCTCCTCCTCGGCTTCTGGTGCCTCTTCAGTAATTTCTGGTTCCTCTGCTGCTTCTTCTATAGGTACGTTGGCGATGTTGCCCCATCCAGTTTCAGCTGCGATGGCTTCGCCCATCGCGGTATTGGGCATGATCCGACGCATATCGACTGCGTCCCATCCTTCGGTTGTGTTCCAGCCGGTGGGACGTTCGACAGGCGGCCAGAAGGTTTGCGTGCTTGTCGGCTCAGTTGTTTCGACTGCTGTTTCTGATGTGATCTCCTCTCCTTCTTCCACTGCTTGCAGTCCGGTTTCTGCAGGGTTCCTTGTTGAGGCGACGGGTACGGCGAGGGCGCGGAAGGTGCCGTCAAGGCCGTGTTGTTGATAATCGGTTTCTTCTGGGTGGCTCCATCTTGGCGGCGACGGGTGGCCCGGAGGGTCAAGAACAAGGATGTGTTCGTTATTGCTAGAGGTTCTGGGCGACTCGAAGGCGAGCACGAAAACGCCTTCCACACTTGTTGCCTTTCCGATGAATATGTCGTTGTATATTAAGTGCATTTCGTCTTCTGTCGTTTGCAGGCCAACCCCGCACTTCATCAG